TGATGTGAGTGCGACGGTGAACTTCCTGAACGGCATGAAGACCTTGCCTAATTTCGACAGCATCCGCATGGCGCAGCTTCAGGCGATGCTGGCCCGTCTTGCGCAGTTGTCCAGCATCCCTGCGAACCAAGCTTCTACACTGCTGGAAGCCTGGAACACCGGGCCATGGACGGCAGAAGAGTCCAAGAGGTTCACGGATGCTGTGAGTGCGGCAGTGGCAGCCAGCACGCAAGGCACACCCAAGAAGGGGAAACGACCCAACCAGAACATTCGCGATTTCCAGCCCTTTCTTTCAACTCGTGATGCGCATGTGCTGAGAGGCGAGGCCAGCATGTCAGTGAAGATGGACGTCTTGGCAACCCGATGCGTCAGGTTGAAGTTGACCTTGCCATCTGAGAACGGCATCAAGATGATTGTGGCAAGTGGGCTCTCCTGGTCAAATGCTGTGTCAGACGCCGACCGTTACATGAACGTGCTGGAATTCCGGCGCCTCTTGCACTCCAAGCGGAAGCCGGTGCCCAAAGCAGGGTTGCACTTGACCGAATACCCTGGTCATCCTCGAGAGCTGCCTCAGGAGCTGTTCTTGCAGGCGTACGACAAAGATGATCCGCCTGCGGCAGATGAGGCAGCATCTCCCCTGCGCGTCCAGGAAGAAGTGGATGGGATTGCAGTGAGAGGAACTTCCAAGAAAGTTCGCCATCTCTTCAACACCGGAGGCACAAGTTCGGCTTTGGTTCCCCAAGGGGCGCCATGTTTGCAAGCTTGGGCCCAAGCAGCTCCCCAGGCAGTTCCAAACAACCAAGCACAGACTATGCTGGCCATGATGCAAATGGTGATGCAGCAGTCAATGCAGGGGCAGCGCAACTTCACGCCGGCTGTGCCAGGCCTCACGATCTTCGAGCCAAAGCAGCAGGCAGCACAGCAGCAGCGTGTGGCCCATGATGACGTGCAGAATACGCCAGAGAAGCAGCCACATGTTGCGCAGACCACCCCACACAAGCACATGGAGCAGAGCCAGAACCTCTTCCAGACTGAGCTGGAGGATCCGCCGGCTTTGGATGATGGAACTAACACGCAGGACGACGAGGCCGTTCTCAAGCAGGCAGCCATGATCTCCGACGCCATCGACAAGAGAGGTGGCCGCACCGACAAGACATCAGACAAGTGGCATGCGGCCAAGGGCAAAGGGAAGGGCAGAGGGCGGGGCAAAGGCAAGGGCAAGGGCAAAGCTAAGGCCAAAGCTCAGCCCAAGGCCAAAGCTCATCCCAAGCCCAAGGCCAAAGCTCCTCCCAAGCCCAAGGCCAATGCTCAGGCCAAATCTCAGACCATGAAGCGGCCCGCTGCAGCCGGCACTCGAGAGTTCTACCGGCAGATGAGTATGAGCAAGCGCAAGCAGCTGCGGCCTCACGGTTGCCAGAAGTGCAGAAGCAAGCCTGGCTGCACCCCGAGTTGCTTTGCCGACGTGTGATGTGAGTGGAGCCCTCAATAACGTATACTACTGTGTGTAAATATCTCTGTGATGATGGGTGGCTTGCAACTTGCATGAATGAATATATATATATATGTGTATAAGATTTTCTTTGCTATGTGTATAGGTTCGTTCCCCTTTCCACAGTATATATAGCCACCCTGCTTGGAGACATTGAGTTTGCTTCGCAGCATTCCACCTGTGTGTGCAGCGCTTTTCATGTGAAGGATTCTGGGTTATGACATGGGGCAGTGTCATGCACGCGAGCCTGGAAGAAAAATGTGCATCCGGCTCTTGCGTGTATGGGCCTGCAGGGAGTTGTGTTGTGGAGGAAGCTGTGCCGCGATATTTGACGCAGCATGAAGGCATGATTCTTGTGGACATTTGCAGCGTGCTGATCTTGAGTGGTGCACATCTTTCCGCGAATGCCAGGTCAGTACATGCATGGTCAGAAACCACACATGCAGGCAACATGGCTTTGTGTTCAACGGCATGGTGACACCAGGCATGCAGGCAACCAATCTTTGCAACATAGGCAGTGTCATGAATACATATCGATGTATAGATATATATGGACAATCGGATCCTGTCGCATGCAGGGCTTCAGCTCGCGTGCAGTGCAGGATACATACTTGAAGTCTATATAGAGTTGTAGATCCTCCCATTGCGGCATGACCAATCCTTTGGGAAGTCTCGGCCGACGACATTATGTCAGTCTGTCAGGACTTGAGTCAATCCTGAAAGATTTGAAAAGAGATCACGATTTGGATATCCAGGGCACTTCGCGCAGGACTTTGAAGAGAGCGAGAGACGTGGAGGTGGACATCGAAACACCTCATGGGCAAGTGCTTACGGAGATGACAATCCAGCTTCTGACAAAATCCAGCAGAACTGAACTGCAGGAGAAAGCGCTGCCAGTGCTGAATCTGGGTGCGTTTCTTTGGCACGCGTGTCAAAGCTTGCC